AGAAGAAGAAGAAGAAGAAGAAGAAGAAGAAGAAGAAGAAGAAGAAGAAGAAGAAGAAACTTCTGGAAAGGCAGACCCCATCACAGCACAGGTAATGCCCAAAACATCTGAAGCTGAAGGGCAACCAGGGCAATCACTGAAAACTCTAAACTCCAGCTTGGCCCCTGACCAGATTGGCCTCTCCATTAGCAACTTGGCTAAAGAGCTATGCTTGTATCCGAACATAAGTTCAATTTACCCCAATCTCTACTCTCTTACATATTATGTCCAACATGGGAGACAATTATGAGTTACCCAAGAAAGAAAGAAAAATGACCTACCGTTATGAAACAAAGTGATAAAGGCAAACTGATAGGTGACCCAGATGTTGTAACTGTCAGACAGGAAATGAAAAATAACCGATTAATAGGTTATAGGCTGTAGTGGGAACGTGGGCGATATTCATGACTGGATGGACGATCTCAGCAAAGAGATACACGAGGCAGGACTGAATGGGACTGGGGGCGCAGTTCAGTGGTAGAGTGCATGCTTAGTGAGCGTGAGGAGGTGGGTTTGCTCCTCAATAACTGAAAAGTGAATGAGAAGGAAGAAAAGGGGGGAGAGAGGAAAAGGTGAAAGGATATAATGGAGATGGTAACAGAAATGACAAATCTCTCACCAGTCAGCCCATCAACAGACAACACAGCCAAAGAAGGCATCAGCAAGCTGGAAAACAGGTGAATAGAAATAACTCATTCCAAAATACAAAAGAAAAGAGGCCATGAGATGGTGTCATACAGGGGATTTGGTGACACTGGAGTTCCAAGAGTAAAAGACACTAGCCAGGTGTGGTGATGATGCACGCTACTAATCCTAGCACTTGAGAGACAGAGGCAGGAGGATCTCTGTGAGATGGAAGCCAGCCTGGTCTACATAGCAAGCCCATGACAGCCCCAACTACACAGAGAGACCTTGTCTCAAACAAAACAAAACAAAAACAAAAAATGCAAGAAACAAACAACAACAAACAAAAAACAACAAAATGAAAGACTAAAAACACATTGATGGGAGGTGGAAATGAAGAAGAAGAGAGGAAGCAAGAAGAGAGGTGAGAAATTATTATTCTCAAAATGGCCATTAAATCACAATTCCCAAAATCCCAGGACTCTCAGTCAGGATAAACACAAGCCCCATTTTTATCTATCATACTAGAAATGCTGGGAATGAAAGGGAAAGGAACCGGGCACAGTGGCTCATGCCTATAGTCCCTGTACTGGTGTGTGTGTGGGGGGAGGGGGACTAAAAGGAGGAGGGTCAGACATTCAGAGATAGCCTCAGCTACGCTGTGAGAAAAGGCAAAAGGTGTTAAACATTAAAAAATAAAAAAGATGAAGCAGAAACATTTCTGTCAAGGCAACCAAAATAGGGGGCTGGACTCACAGCACACAGAAATGAAAGTGAGAGCCGCAGGCCTCCCCACTGTGGTACGGGAGACAGCAGAGGCTCCCCAGTGTACTGGGAAATCAAACCACAGCCGAGGTTATTATATACAGTTAAGGCATTTTTCAAAAGTAGTCAATAAACAGGGATGTTTTCAGAGAGACGAAAATTTACTACAAGAGGGAGAAAAGAATAGAAATGAAGATTTTTTTTCTCACAAGAATGCAGAACAGCCTGGCTAAAAGCTAGCAAGTGGTTTTTGTTGTTTGAATCATGACACAAATGTATTACTCCATGGTTATTTCTTTGAAATCTCATTTAAAAGTCGAAAGTGACATCTGTCCAAAGCACAGACATGTGCCCTGTGCAATGCTAAAAGCAAAACGTGCCTTTAGTATCCCCTCCCAGGTGTCTCCACAAATGTCAGCAGTTTCACTTCCAGCAGCAAGATGACTAAGGTTTGAAGTCTGAAGCCACTTACCTAGCTAGATTTGAGGCCTAGCTTTGTGTTTAATTTATTATGTCTATTTATGCTGCCCAGGCTGACCTGGTTCTCAAGTACCTGGACTGCACGTGTGCATCACCACACCCGGCTGCACCTGTGCATCACCACACCCGACTGCACCTGTGCATCACCACACCCGACTGCACCTGTGCATCACCACACCCGACTGCACCTGTGCATCACCACACCCGACTGCACCTGTGCATCACACACACCTGACTGCACCTGTGCATCACCACACCTGACTGCACCTGTGCATCACCACACCTGACTGCACCTGTGCATCACCGCACCTGGCTGCCATCTTACTCTACTAGCCATGATGTTTAGCAGTTATCACCTTGAGTTTTGCAATAAAAGAGTAACAGGTTAGGGAGAAGGCTCAGTAGCTAAGGCACTTGCCATGCAAGTATGAGGACCAGAACTTGGATGGATGAACTAATTGGGTTTCACAACCCACCTGTAACGTCAGCATGTAATAGGCAGAGACTGAATCTCCATAGCAGGCTGACTAGCCATACTAGAATTGATGAGTTCATGTAAAGAGATGTAGACACAAGATACTCAATGTCAACCTTAGACTTCTACATGCAAGTACATACACCCCCACATATATGCCCACACACAAGCAAATATGCATATATAAGTGCATGCAACACACACACACACATACACACACACAGAATAACAAAAATCTTTGATGTCACTGTCCCGAGCTTTACATGGACATGTATCTAAATGTCATATGCTTTAGCATGTCATGTAAGACGGTGGTGACACTGGGTGCAGAGTATATGAAAACACTGTTCTGCTGTTAAAGTCTTCTGTGTCTAAATAATCTCAAAAGGTCAAAAACATCACTGACTGTTAAAGTTATCCCTCCCTCTGCTTCATATATAAATGATTTATGCCAACATTTATCCATACCAGTATCAGAAAATATCAGTTTTCACTTTGAAAATTAGTAAATCCATTGGTTAACCAATGCAAAGTGGTCATCCCTGAAATCATATACACACAAGCAATGAAAACAGACTTAGCAGGTTGTGTGTGTGTGTGTGTGTGTGTGTGTGTGTGTGTGTGTGTGTGTAACAATAATAAAGAAAAAGGTGCCGGGCAGTGATGGTGTACGCCTTTAATCCCGCACTAGGGAGGCAGAGCCAGGCAGATCTCTGTGAGTTCAAGGCCAGCTTGATCTACAGAGCAAGATCCAGGGCAGGCACCAAAACTACACAGAGAAACCCTGTCTTGAAAAACCAAAAAAGAAAAAAGCAAAAGGACCATAAATTTGAAGGGAGTCATATAGGAGGGGTTTGAGAGAGGAAAGGGAAGGGGGAGGTGATATAATTATATTTTAAATTAAATTTTTAAAAAAGGAAATTAGCAAATTCCAGGGCTGGAGGTATGGCTATAACCCCAGAGCATGGCGAAGGGGGAGATAAGCGACTCCCGAGGGTACCAGCCAATCAGTGAGCTCCAGATTCAGTGAGAGACTTTGTCTCCAAACATTAAGGTGGAGAGTAGCTAAAGAAATCTGACGCCACACATGCAAATGATCTCCCTCCCGCTCCCTCCCCTCCCCCCACTGGAACAGGAGGGACCAGGTGGTAAGTAACTAAGCATGCGTCCTGATCCCTGAGTCTGCTTATCAAAATGACGAAAGGCGCAGAAAGTCTCCACTTACTGTAGCCCATCAGGATGAATGCCCCTACGAGCATGATCCCAGTCTGCAGCGCATCTGTGTAGATAACAGCAGCCAGACCACCTGGAGGGGGGAGCACAGGGTAGGGTCAGGTCACGTGGGAGGACTGCTCTGAGTTGGAGGGAGCCTAGAAGGTGGAGATCCCATAGAGTTCTGAGAATTGAGGAGTCGCCCAGATGGCTACCTCAGCGGCTCCCTGTGCGCTCTGAACGCGTAACAGCGCTGCTTTGCTGCCCCTTCATGGGGAGCTGAAGTTGATTTCTCTACTTCTGTGGTATAGGCCTGGTCCTGTGACTCACTGTGAGCTAAAGAATAGGGTGGACATGCTTGTATGTAGCTCCAGGCCTTTCCTCAGGGAGCTCTGGGACTTTGTTGCCCTAAGAACAGCATGCTTTAAGAAGCCTCAGAAACTGTGGCACCATGTGCCTGGAATCCTAGAATGTGGAAAGTGGAGACGGGAGAGGCGGGAGTACTGTGCTTGCTCATGGCCAGGCTAGGAAACATAAGACCACGTCTTCAAACAAGTCTAAGGTGGTTAGCTGGAAGGAACTCCGGCACTTGCCAAGTAGAGCACTTGCCAAGCCTTAGGTTCAATCCCCAGCCCGACTTAACTCAATGGAAGGGAATCTGCTCCCCACAGCCCAAGCTAACCACCTACCACACCAGGGAGGCCATCTGTTTCAACAAGCCGTTCCACTGAACTATAGTTCCACAAAGCCAGGTGAGACCATCAAATCAGTCATCCAGGCAACCCACAGGCTATGGGGATTAACCGGCCATTGTTTAAGCCCCTCGCTGTGTGGATGCTTTGTTACATGGCATGTGGGTTGCTTGTTACACAGCAGTTCCTCACTGATACAGGAAGTGGTACTTGGACTACAGACCTAACTCTGAATGTTTTCCTTTTCTATTAAAAAAAAAAATTTAGATTAACATGCCAAATATTAGGTTTGACTATGGAATATTTAAATAGAATTAGTTCTTAATTCTCCTCTCCCCCCCCACATCACCCTGGTCCCCCCTGTTAGCCATGGCTTCATTTCTGCTTTCGTGTCCCATGTCCTGCTGCCTTCTTCCTTACTTCAGCTTTTCCTACATGAATACCTTCAACATTTGTGATGATTATTTTCAAGAACGATACTTATTTTAAAATATTGAATTTTGTTTATTTGTGTGTGCATGTACATGTGTGGAGGTCAGAAGACAGCTTGAGGGACTGACTGAGTATCTTCTTCCACCAGGTGGGGTCCAGGGCTCACTCGGACAGATTTGGTGGCAAGCACCTTTCGCCCAGAGGCATCTGTCTGGTCCAACACCCTTATTTTTAAGGTTGGAAGAAGAACGTGAATTCTAGGTATCCAGAACACCACCCAGGCTTCTTTAACACCATCATGGCTACCTAAGAGGATCCTCATTGAATTTGCCCTCCCCAAACATCTTTGTGGTGTTTGCAAGTCCATCAACATGGACAGAGTACAGGTCCCAGCCTCTCCCGAGTGTCTCCCTCCGTGCAGGAAAGGAACATTGACCTGATACAAACGTGTTTACATGAGGGCAATTGCTATGCAATTAAGAAAAACATGGAGCCAGGTGTGGAGTAGCTGGGTGGTGGTGGCGCACGCCTGTAATCCCAGCATTCAGGAGGCAGAGGTAGGTGGATCTCTGTGAGTTCCAGGACAGCGTGGTCTACAAAGTGAGTTCCAGCACAGCCAGGGCTACACAGAGAAACCTTGTCTCAGAAAAAGAAAAAAGAGAAAGAAAGGAAGGAAAAAAGGAAGGGAGGAAGGACCGAAAGAAGAGAAAGAAAAACATGTAGAAGGATATGGTATCCTTAACGTCCCCTTCCTGGTCAGCAATAATGGAGCCCTCTTTCAAGTGACAGGGGACCTGCTTACAATCCCACCCTAGTTCTCTGATGTTCCTTCAATGAGCCAGAAGTCATAAAAGCCCACAATTTGGTACCACTGAGCCCATCTTACGTCTATACCAAGACTTACTGAATACTGCCCACTTACCAGGCACTGTGGCACAGTTAAAGATTTCATTTAATTGGTCACTGAATATCTGGAGAGCATGCTACCACACTCTGTGTGCCCACCAAGTGGCGTGTTCCTGCCCTCATAGAACCTCCAGCCTCACAGAGACTCGAAACAAGGAACTGGCCATGGCAATTAACTCCCTCTTCTGCTCCTGCTCTGAGCACATGCCTTCCAGGAGGCTTTCTGTATTAGGGACCTCTGTGTAGTTGGATTGTGTCCCCTCCCTGATTTAGAGTCTCCAGTGGTGTTCCGTGTCACTTGGAGCAAAATCCAGGATCCTTTCATTGCCTCCAGAGCTCTGCTCCCTTGCCTGCCTCCTAGCTGGTTCGTCATCAGAGTGATTGCAGTTAGGTTCTGAGGAAACCCTTGAGTAGCGCCCCCTAGAGTTCAGTGGATACAAGGCACATTGTCATTGCCACTGACCCCCTTGCTAGTCCATGGCTGGGGGAAGTGTGCTTTCATTCCATAGGCCTTAGAATTGTCTTTCCCTCTGCTTGGAATTCTCCACACTTCTCATGTCAACTTAAATTTAGTTGAAAGATTGCCTTTGTCTATGTTTTTAAAAAAGCCTTCCCTTCATTGGTCCCCAGCTTCTCGGTTCACCCTTGATAGCATTCATCAAGTATAATAATATACTCTGACATTACCAATTGATTTCCTTGTCCATTTGTTTCCTCATAGCCACTAGAGTATGTGTGTGTGTGTGTGTGTGTGTGTGCGCGCGTGTATGTGCACATGTACACACAACAGTTTTGGGTTTTGTAATTAGTTTGGTTCTGGTGGTTTTCTTTTTGTTGGGAAAGAGTGTTAAGAAATAGGGTTTCTCTGTATAGTCCAAGCTGGCTTTGAACTCAACATTCTCCTGCCTCAGGCCCCCAAGTTCTGGGATTATAGGCATGAGCCAACACACGCAGCTTTACAGTAGAGACTGTCTTTCTGGTTCCTTCCCATACCATTTTCTATGTTGCCCAGCACATAGTAGGTGATACACATGCGTGAATATGTGTATATGCATGTACATTTATGGAATGAATTATACCAAGGGGTGGCAGAGAAGTGCAAAGCTAAACAGGTGACTATTTTTTAAAAAACCAACTACTTGAAAGCCTACTATGTGCTAGGCATTTTCTTGAACACAAATCTAAGAGAAAAAAAAATAAAGCTGCCTGAACTTAGGCATCAAAATCAGCAGTTCATTGCCCAGCTTTGTATCATACATGTGGACTCACATGCTTATCACTTAGTAGGTTCTCAACTAGTCCTTCTGGAATACAAGAATAGGGAAACATTGTGTAGCTGTGGGATGTTTTGCTTGTTTGTTGAAACAGGGCCTCACTACATAGCCCAAGCTGGCCCCAAATGCAGAATCCTCCTACCTCAGCCTCCTGAGTGTTGGGATGATGGGCACGAACCACCTCGTCTGGTTTCTGTGTGGTACATTTAAGTAATCCCTTTTCTTATTAAGTAACCCCCTTTCCTTTGGATAAGGCTTTAAAAAACGTCATTGTTCAGGGCAGTGGGGTGAGATTTAGTGAGTAGATGGCCTTAGCAAACTAAAACACCAGGAGGTGTGCTGGAATAAAGTGGGTTGGCCCATTGCCCTGCCCACCAACTCTCTGAGCATCACCCACGTCCCATGATACCTGCAATGGTGTACAGAGCTGTGATGGCCAGCAGCCCCACTATGGCTAGGTACAGATCCAGGTTCAGGGACTGCTGAATGAAGATGGCACCTGCATACATGTCTACCTGTAGGATGAGAAGTCAATGGGTGAATGGATGGGAGGATGGACTAGAGAAGAGATGGGGGAGAGACTAAACAGGCAGATGGGGGAGGGAGTGAATAGGTAGACTCATGAAGTCGTGGATGGATGAATGGATGGATGGATGGATGGATGGATGGATGGATGGATGAGGGAGTGGGTGGATGATGGGCCTAGGAATGGATGAGTGGATAGAGGAGGGAGTGAACAGATGATGGGCCAAGGAATGGATGAGTAGATGGGGGAGGAAGTGGGTGGATGATGGCATTCACAACAGCTCCCCAGGGGCAGGCTCTCTCCCAGACTCTACAAATACAGAAGAGCTACACACATTAATTTCCTCAGCCAGTTTAATCCTAAACTGGGGGACTCAAAATGAAGCCCCCGTGGGTAGCTACGTTTGAGACCCCTGCCCTGCGCTCTGGCAACAACCTCATGCCTTCCCACTTCTGCTGTGGGTCTTCCTACCCGTTCTCCTCCACACTGCAGCCTCCATGCTTCCCCCAGGGTGATATCATCCTTCTCCCCATCAAAGCTCTTGTGCGGCTTTCACCTCATCCACCGTAGGGCTGGGGGAGAGCTTACACCAGACCCTTCAACATTGGCAAGCTGTTAACCTCATGCTCTTTATTTACTCCGTGTTTCTAGGGCTCGGGGTTTCAGAAACAGTCCATCTCCCAGCATATTACGTTTTTATGCATCTTCCAGCTTCGGCTGGTGGTGGTCCAGCCATCTGGAATGGCAGTGTCCTTATTTCCAACTGGTGGATTCCTTCAAAGATGACACTCACCCCCTATCAGGTTATAAGTAAGCATCTTAGAAGGAGTGCCTTGAGTCTGCAGCAAGGACAGTCAGCTGCTGCTGTTTGCACCAAATGGAATTTCTTCTGCTGCTGCCCCATGTGGGACTAGATCATTGCCACCCCCAGAGCCATGCCTGGTGAGCAACCCATGCTTGGAGGTAACAGTGCATCTGCTCTTTGCCACCTTCCTGCCGATCAGCCCATCCAAAGGTCAGGGTGAGGCAGGCCCTGGCTGCCCTCACTACATCTGATTACTATCTAACCACTCCCTTGTGTTTGGAGGTAGGTCACAGTCCTACCCAAGAGCAGGGGAGTGGGGGTGGTTCTTGGATGTCTATTCAGTGACCCCATCATTATGCTGAGATGTCACCAAACTAGCTTTGGCAGGCATCGGGAGGGATCCCTTGCCTCTGCCTGTCCTTTCTACATGCTTCTTCTGCCCATCTTAACCTCCTTCCCTCTGCTTCCCTCTCATATCAAACCTGCCCCAGGGAGGAGGAGAGAGGAGGAAACTCCTCACAGTGCTCTAGGAGGGAGGCCAGGCCATGCGTCTGCCTTACTGAGATCTTGGTGAAGATGTAGATGAATAGATAGAGCACAGCCAGGGTGATGGAGATCCTGCTGCCCCCGAAGCGCCTCCTTAGGTATTCTGGCATCGTGGTTACCTGGAGGTTGAAACAGTTTTATCAGACCCGACTGACTGTGGGCATTCGCCTCCTCCTCCTGGCCACCAACCCTGCCCACCTCCTCCATCCCTACAAAGTCAGATGAGCAGAGCATCATCTCGGGCTTCTCCACAAGAGACTTTTAAGGAGGAAGAGGACTTGGGGAGGGGGTGGACTGTGTTCTATACAGGGCTGTGCACCTAACTGTTGTTTCAGGTTTATTTATTTATGTGTGTGTGTGTGTGTGTGTGTGTGTGTGTGTGTGTGTGTGTGTGTGTGTGTGATCAGTCATACCACAGCACAAGTGTGGAAGTCAGAGGACAGCTTGCAGGAGTTGACTCTCCTTCCACCTTGTAGGCCTGGGGCTCAAACTCAGGTTGTCAGGCTTGGCAGCAAGCACCTTTCCCGGCTAAGCCACTGCAACCCCCACCCCCCAACGACTGTGTTTGTAAACACGAGGAGGACGGAGTGTTCCCCGTCCTAGGTCCTAGTTTGCTGTATGCTGGATTTCTTTAACTAGTGTTTTCTATTTAAGCGAACTTGCCTTTTTACTTAAATAACTTTATCCAACAAAGCGATACTTTTTTTTTTTTTTTTTTTTTTAAAGCAGTTCTGGGAATGGATTCTGGGCCTCCTGCATGTTAGGTAAGTGTTCTTCCCCTGAGCTAATGCTAACGCTTGAAAATGAATTACTACTGTAAGTAGAAATCAGTCCCAAATTTAAGGGAACCCAGAAAAAAGAATATAGGAACAACAGAGCAGTGAAGTATATCGTCTGATTTCTTTTAGCAACTTCCTGTTGCTGAGAGCCTCTCATGGGGCCAGAGGGAAGCCGCCCGTGAGCAGATGGGCAACACTAACGACAGAGCAGGGTATTAGGAGGAGGGGACAGCAGCAGCACACAACTGTAAGGGGACACATTGGGGCCATCCAGGGTGGGGAGTTGGGGGGATAAATGTATTCATACATGAAACTGTCAAAGAACAACTTTTGATTTTAGAAGAGAGGAGCAAGAGGAACATTGCTGAAGTGCTGAGGGCATCCAAGCTGCACACGAGACTTTGCCCTTTGTCTCCTGATAAGATGAAATATGCACAGTGATTACCTGTCAGGGAAGAGCAAAATAAAACTCACTTCAAAAATTAAGGGGAAAAATCACCAAGCAAGGTGGCATATGCTGGTAATCCCATCCTTCAGGAGGCTGAGGCTGGAAGACTGAGAGTTTAAGGTTGTACAGTAAGAACCTGTTGCCGAAAAAAAACAATGAATGTTCTCTCTCAACCACTCTGGGACCTCTGGCCAGCCGATGTTCTCCCACAAGGCCCCCAGTGTCAGGTGGGCAAGGATGGGGTGATGATACTCATGGGTACATGTCTACACTTGGGGTGGGGGGCACTGTGTTGTGGTTTGAGCTCACAGCATCTTCCAAAACCTCACATGTGGAAGGCTTGGTCCTAGTTGATGGATCCAGTCAGAGAAGTGATTGGATCCCGGGGGTTTTGACCTAGCAATGGGTTCATAACTTGATGACATTATCATAAGGTGGTGGGAGCTAGGAAGAAGGCCTGGTTGGAGGGCTAGGTCACTGAAGACCTGCCTTGAGGGATGGATCTTGTCACCAGCCCCTTCCTGTCTCTCTGCTTCCTGGGTGCCATGGAGTGAGCTGCCTTCTCTACCACCGTTCCCCTCCATGATGTTTCTGCCCTGCCCTGGGCCTAAAAGCAAGGGAGCCTGCGGACAAGAGATTGAAACCTCTGGGAATTGAAAATAAACCCTCCCCTTCTCTCAAGTATGATGTTGAAGTGATGATGTTGAAAAAATGATTAACAAGGGCTGAGTGGCCAGACCTGCTTCAAGAATAACAAGTCCTTGCAGTGATCCCAGCATTTAGGAGACTGAGGCAGGAGGATTATCAGTTTGAAGCCAGCCTGGTAAAAACCTGCCCTTAAAAAAGTTAAACTAGTAAGTTAATAGTAGAATCTGACTGGATGTTCTAGTGAATTGGGTAAGATGAATTGGATGTTGATGCATGTTTGAATTTTTCATATTAAAATATCGGCAAACAATAAACATAGCAATAGCTACTTTCAACAGGGTCAATAAAGCTGCTTTATCCATCTCTTCTCCTCAAAAGGCAAGGATGTCCTGCATGGGTCCTCTGATTTGCTGAACGGCAAGCTCAGTGGGAGTCTGCAGAAGTGTTTTATACTGAGTTCTGACACTGTCAGGAGGGTACGAGGAGGGTTGAAGCCAGCCTTGTACCCTGTGGGGCTCGGGACCTAATCAGAGAGTACAATGGGCAGGCCAGTCCATTGAGATAAACGTGCCAAAAAGATACTCTGGGCGAGCACTATCTAATCTGTGAATGACAAGACAACTGCCATCTGGGCGGGCTTCCTGAGCTAGACTCTTCTCATTGGCTGCTGGCTTTGGACTATCAGTGGACCCTGGGGTCAATCCAGGATAGCTGCTACAGGAAGTTTCTAGTTATTAAAAGACAGGAGAAGAGGAGGAAGAAGGGAGCAAAGGAGGCCTTGATTCGTTAGCACACTACACAAAAAGCTTTCCAGTCTCAAAGGTAGCCCTTATTCTAATGTCCAAGCCATTCAGGAAACAGCCCACTGAGTCAGAAAGTCAAGACCACAATACTCCGCTGACTACAGACTCAAACCACAGCTGGCTTCAGTGAGGAAGGCCCAAGGGACCACATCCCTCTTGATGGTGATGGCTGGATGGGCAGAAGAAGTAAATATAGCAGCCTGATATGGTGGCACATACCCATAATCCTGGTAGGAAGATCACAAATTCAAGATCAGCGTGGGCCACATATTGAGACTGTTCCAGAAGCTGACTAAAACAAGATGAATTGAACAAAAGACGGACACTCTTAGAGATTACTACTCTAGCTTCCAGGGCTCTGCATTACACACACACACACACACACACACACACACACACACACACACACACACACACACACAGTCTCCATTGATTGTAGCATCTTTGGAGGGGGTCCCAGAGACTGTCCTCTCTCCAGATCAGATCCAGTCTGCCCCTCATCCACACCCATGGGAACCCCCTCACTACTCCTGTGAAATCAAGGACACCTGCATGAAGCTGAATGCATGGCTCTTCACTGGATGAGCGCACAGAGGAAATGTCACAAGAGCACTTTGGTTGCTTGGTGGGCACCTGAGAACTACGACTCAATCTCCATGTGCATAAGCAAAGCTAGGCTCTAAGGATGAGAAGTATTTGAGCTGTGATCTAACGTGGTAAATATACAGTAACATCTAAGGGGGGGTCTCGGTCTGTAAAATACAGTAGCATCGAAGGTCTGGGGAGGTACTCAGTCTATCTTGCTGTGCTACTATGAGGACCAGAGTTCGATCCTCAGAACCAGTGTACAAACTGGATGTGGCAGCACACTTAGCAATCCCAGTACCGAGGAGGCAGAAACAGGAGATCCTGGCCAGTCAGCCTAGTGGAACTGGTGAGCCACAGATCCCAGTGAAAGTTCCTCTCTTAAAAAATAAGGTGGTGTTGGCTCCTGAGAAACAAGGCCTCAGGCTGAACTCTGGCCTGCATGTGCATAAGCATGCATATACCCCCACATACATGTGCACACACATATATGCACATACAAATAATCAATACATAATCAATTCTCAATGGATAACAGCAAATGGGGAAGTTCTAGAAGATATTATAGAAAAATATCTTAATGACCTTGGAGTAGGTAAAGATTTTTGTTGTTATTATATGAGAGAAGGTTTATATACTCTACAGCCCAAGCTAGCCTGGAACTCATGTAACCTAGGCTTGCCTCAAACTCATGGCAATCCTCCTGCCTTAGCCTCCTGAATGCTATAATATAACAGGCATGAACCATCACACCTAACGAGGAAAAGACATTTTTAGACAAGACATTGAAACGAAAGGTGATAAATGGGACTATGGTAAGATGGAATTCTGTCTATGGAGAAGCTCCAGGAATGAAATGAATAGCTAGGTGTAACAGTGATAGAATATCTCCCTGGCCTGTATAAGGCCAGGCTCCATCCCTGGTATCACACACACACACACACACACACACACACACACACACACACACACACACACACGAAGGGGGTGCAAAAAAGACCAGCCTCTGAATAGAAAAGATGTTTGTAACTCTTAAGCACCAACAGCTTATTTCTAGAACTGACTTTGTAAACTGCAGAATTTATAAATCAATAAAACAAGTGATACAGCTTAATAGCATAAAAAGGGGCGAATGTCCTAGATGACTACAGCGGCTTCCTTCACTCAAGGTGATGGACTTATGAAGGCTCGCGGTGTAATCTGGATCCATGTGCTCACGGTTTTGATGTTGTCCCTGTCCTTTCCGACTTGCGGCGGCACCGTGGTGGGAGCCCGTGGCCCAGCAAAAGTGCCCTCTTCACTTCCAGGAAGCTGACGAGAAGGAAAGGCCGAGAACGTGGTCCTGCAGTCCTCTCCAAGGGCTCTACATTTTAAAGCCTCCTGTAATGGCACCTCACTGGAGATCTGGGTAACACTTTTTACCTCCAGGGGACATTCTAGATCTATACTGTAGCTACCAGCTGTTCCCTCAGAGATGACATTCAAATGGCCAGAAAGCCACGTGAATTGGCAATAAAAAGTTCAGAGACGGGGCTGGAGAGATGGCTGTGTGATTAAGAACCATTGCTGCTCTCAGGCAAGTCACATCGAGTGACTCATGACCACCTGTCCCTCCAACTGACTCCTTCTGGCCTCCATGGGCGTGGGCACTGTATACACACACACACACACACACACACACACACACACACGCACACACACACACACACACACACACACACACACACACATACCCCACACACAGAATTTTTGATATCAGGCAATACCAAGTGTTGGCAAGGATGTTAAGCACTGGACAACTTGGGCTCCCAAATACTTCGAGGCATGGGGAGTGAAACTGCTCTGCGAGAAAGATTGGTGGCATCATGTGAATTTAAGTCCATTTAAGGCACCACAGTCTTTACTTCATCTTGTTATAGAACAGTGTGAGCGTTGCCCAGCTCTGTTCACGTTGTCCCTTTTCTTGGCCTTATGTACCATGAAAGGATGGCCCCTCTTGGTTTGAAGGTACTGTGGCTATTGATGATTTCTCTACTATGAACAGCTATAGCAGCCCGAGTTACCTCAGATCTTTGTGGCTTTTCTCAACCTCACCCCACTCCCCATAGCCAACCCCTCAGCAGGTATAAGTTTTCTGTTTGCCAGAGAAAATGGGATCCATCAGCTGAGAACACCTGTCAATCTCCTTCAGCCCCGAAGAACAACCTGCATCTCACACCCCTTCTTCTCCCCCAAATCTGATCAGCTAAATCTATTGCTTAGTAGTAGCTTGCAGCCCAAATCCAACCACCCAAGTTCAAGCCCCAGAACCCATGGAAAGAAAGAGAACCAGTTCCTGAAAGTTATCCTCTGACCTCCACAACCTCTCTGGCACACATGCACCCACACTTACACCTACACACACACACACACACACACACACACACACACACACACACACGCACACAAGTTGGTATCTTGTCTGTGCAACACTCTGTTGACATTCCATCTTAGTCAGAAATAGCTCACTTATAGGTTTGAGTGTAAAAGGGAAGGGACCACTGTGTCACATACATGCACACGGATATATATGTGTGCGTGCATTTTAGCTAAAAGCAACACGTTATGGCTTATGCATGTAAGGGATTACATGGTTTATCTTTGTGTTCTATCATTGAAAAGATGTTTCTGAGGCCAGCCTCTGAGTACCCCGTGTGTGCAGTGGATATTGGGTACCATTCAGATCTGTGTGGGATGGGGTTCCTTTCTTCTTTCTCACCTGTGTACCATCTGTCCCCAGTGCCGGGTGACTTAGCGGCTGTCTGATGACTATCCACATGTGGGAGAGGATGTGGGCTAGCCTTCCCAAGGGTGTTCATACGCCATATTGCCCGCCCCTCTTCACACTCACCTGGCCAGCAATGTAGATGGGAAGGAAGATCCAGGCTAGCATCAGCACAGAAAACAAGCCCTGCCCAAAAAAACACAATCAGAGATGCTTTGCCCACATGATGGAGCCAGTCCCCTGTGCCTTGAGTTGGTCTAGCCTGTGCTCTACCCTTGCTAAGTGGTTCACTTTCCCTGGCCTTTATATCTCCATGTTTAAAATGATGAGAGATTAACATCATTAACAGCAGAGTGCCTGAGGTCTCAGCTTCTTAAAGGTTGAGATGGGGTCATTTGAGCCAAGGAGTCTGAGACCAGTCTGAGAAACATAGTGAGACCCTCAAAACAAAATGAAACAGAAACTCCATAATGAGAGGGGGGGTGGGATTAAGTAGGAGAAAGGAAAGAGAATGAAGACTTGGAGACATCTAATTCTGTCTCCTAAATACCACACTGTCCTCTTTGGTCCATTCTGCAGTGGTGGGGCTATACCAACAGGGAGCTGAGGGTTCTGGGAGAGTTACCACAGGTCTCAAGAGCCATCTTCTTCTTTTATGGGTTAGACATAAGAGGACCTCACTAGATTGCTTCAGGAGAATCAATCAGCCCAATGGTACTGAATGAACAATTAATTAATCCATACCAGGCTCTCCTCCGCACCCTTCACAAGTAGGAGTTTAATCAATCCTCACACATGGATGTTACATGGCAGGGACCATGATTACCCCTAATGTACACAGGAGATCCAGAAAAGTCAAGTAACTTGACCAAGGTCACACGGCTTGCAAGCATGAATGCTGAGGCCATCTGGTTCTAGCCTATAGGTTCTAGCCTGGGGTATATGTGCCATAGGTGTCTGTGCCTAGCACAGGACAAGCACTCTAAAAGTGTTCATGAACTGGCTGTTCTTCCAGAGGTCCTGGGTTCAAGTCCCAGCACCCACATGGTGGCTCACAACCATCTGTAATGAGATCTGGCTCCCTCTTATGGCCTGCAGGGATACATGCAAACAGAATACTGTATACATAATAAATAACTTTTTAAAAAAAAGTGTTCATGATTATGAATGACACAAACACCCACAGGAGAAGCTGCTCTGAGGTGCTTGCTATGGAGAAGAATGTGTCTCTGTGTCTCTAGGGACATGAAGGCCACACATCACTGAACATTCTATTTCAGTAATGGCCAACGGATGCTTAAAATACACAGCTATATCTTCTGTCACCTGCCACCTGCCATTTTCTACTTATACAAGGAAGCATCCTGAGCCCTCACCCTCTTGATTTTGAGGGTTGTAGCCCTATGGGTCCCCACCAAGCAGATACAGGGAGACCCAAGTAAATTTTGTTGGCTAGGAGCACCTTTGACACCGGTTTGCTTAACTAAAACCACATTTCACTTTTAAAGTGCCAAGCATTCCCACACCTCCCCCGGATTCTATTGCAGAACAAAGGGGAGATGTCTGTATCATGGCAAAACTCACATTAAGCTCATAGGCAGCGACAGAAATGCCCACAGCAGCACCGGACCCTGCTAGGCCAATGAAGTGTCCGCTTCCAACGTTGCTGGCGAACAAGGATGCACCCACCTGTAGGGAAATGAATGGGAAGGGTTCTGGAGCTGGGCCTGAGAAATTGTCCCTATTCCCAGTTTGGACCACTCTTCAAAGGGACCCAGACAAGCAGGGAAATAGAGAATGTGGAACCATTCTATCCTATGTGCTATATTTGTGCAGTATACAGCTTGAACAACTGTCTGTAGCATCAGTGGTGGACAAGGTTACAGGTAAATACTTCACGATGCAAACTAGCTCTGATGTCCAACTCAACTGCTGCAAGCCACAGGAAAATGTGATGGAATTCAGCTACTATCACAAAAGCTACTACTTGGAAAGGTCAAGGACTTTTCAGAAGGTCAGGCCATGGCTTAAGAAGTCTTGGTGATATTTTAGCTTTTGTATATATATTAGCCGATTCCTGCAATGATTTCTTTGTATGCTGTGTATGCTTCCAAGAACTCCTAACAGTGTATTTTACCTGAAATAACTATAAAGCATCCAAGGCCAAAAGATCTGCATTAAGGTAAACTAAGCTCAGACCCTCCTTTCTTATACAGCCTTAGTGGTATTTATACTAACGCTAAAGACTCCTAACATTTACCTAACCACCTCTAAGAATGTAGGTTGAGCACATAAATTCCCTTTTTCTGATATATTAACTGATTTTTGCTCTTAGTTGACCTCTCCTTTACCACTCCCCTTTTGGGTTATAAAAGAAAGCCTGATGGTCACTGCCTGAGGAAAACTCTTGTCTGCCTTTATGACCCTGTAAGAATTCAAGCCTGGTGACCTTGCTTTAGCTAGAGTACTGTAGTGGGTAGCTATTGCATGGGTATATAACTGTAAACCTCAGAGACTGAGAGAAGAGTTTAACTGGAGAACTAGAAGAATGAGATGGAAGATGAGGAAGAGCCAGATGGGGAAGAACGAGATGAGAAAGACCAAGATGGGGCAGAACTAAGATGAGAGAATTAAGATAGAACTTAGAGGGGACAACAGATAAATGTAGAGAGAAATCAGGGAAGAAAGGAGCTAGGCACGAGAACAGAGCTGAAGCTGTGTAGATAGAATTTTATCCCAGAGGAATAAAGCAGATGGACCAAGAGCTCCATGTACTTAGATTATTTTCCCGAAAATAATTCGCACCGTTCGTAGCTTCTCTTCTGGGTCCCTGGGAAGAAGATTATTAAGGCTGGACCATAATAATTTTTGAGACTCAACAAAGTGTGCGTGTGTGTGTGTGTGTGTGTGTGTGTGTGTGTGTGTGTGTGTGTGTGTTTGACAGACAATGTCTGTAGATCCACTTTAAAAGGAATAGCTAATTGGACTGTTGTATTTGTTATCTGTACTTAGTCCCAGGAATGGGCTCATATTTTCATTCAGACTTTAGCAGCTTAGCACGTACTCTCCAGGGCAGGTGCAGAGCATGACAGCGAGGCTTGAGCCCAGGCAGCACAGCAGTCTACCCTAGCCATGGTGACTGGTACAGTGATGAACCTGAGATGCCGTCAGAGATAAAACATTTTCCACGGATACTGCCAGGGAGGCCGATGCTCTTCCCATGCCAGCCTGGAACTGGAGAAGGTGAACAGTCTGGAATGCTGTTTTCCATCTTGTTGCCATGAAGTTGAAAGTGTGTGGCTATTGAGATCTTACAGGAGAGAAGCCTAGGCACATAAGTGACAGGGAAGTTGACAGATGACGGATGGACTGACGGATGGATAGATGCATGACGGATGGAGTGTGGATAGACAAAGATAGATGAGAGATCAACAGATGGTGGAGGGGTATTTTGAGAAACTAGGTCTTAGTAATATTGATAAGCTGGGCCTCTGCAACCATCCTGTAGGTGAGCTGACAGATTCTTTTGGTGTGAATCAATTTGAATTGGAGCAAGGCTTTCTTTAGTTCTCACTCCACCTTGAAGACAACATGGAGCAAACAGTGTCAGAGCTCGAAGAGCCTTTGAGAAATGACGTAATAACGTATTTGTTGGCAGTGCTGGAGTGGGAACCAAAGCCCTGTGCTCACTAGGCACACATCTACCACAGAATTCCACCCCAGCCTGAGAAGTGATGGACTGAACCAGAGACTGACTACCTACCGGCCACCACACCATGTCACCTCCAGCCAGGAAGTAGCCTTTCACTGTGTCTCGCTTGGTCCTCACTGTGGACTGTAAGAAAGAAAAGGGCTGATGAGGAGAACGCCAGCGCTCAGGCATCTGAAGAGGGCAGAGGCTGTGAACCGGGAGGCCTCGTTTTTGTCTGACTGAAACTTTGATGTGAACGTCTTTAAAGCAGACCTCCTCTCTGGCCAGTCCCTGTCAGTCCCCAGTTCACAGGTTTGGGATAACCTACATGGTCCTCTAGACATCTGAGCTGCAGCTCTGTGGCTTGCTAATGGCCACTCATAATGGATTCATTGTTTTCAATGTTCTAGAAACTGTTCCTATGAGATATTTCACAAGCACCAGCTCAGATACATTTAAAACAATTACACTTTAAATTAATTAATTAACAACTGTAATTTAAAATTACAGGTTTTTAAAAATAATTTTTTTATTTTTATTTTATGTGCATTTCTATTTTGCCTGCCTGTACATCTGTGTGAGGGTGTCAGATTTTGGAGTTATAGACAGTTGTGAGCTGCCATGTGAGTGCTGGGAATTGAACCCGGGTCCTCTGGAAGAGCAGTCAGTGCTCTTAACCACTGAGCCATCTCTCCAGCCCCTAAAATTACAGTTTTTAATTACATTTTTCTAATTTTAAATTTTGAGATGAGTTCACAATGTAGCATTGGTTGGCCTGGAACTTACTATGTAGACCAGGCTGGCATAACTCAGAGGTCTGTCTGCCAAGATTCAAGGCATGTACCATACATAGCCAACAATGGCAGCTTCTTTTAATCCCCACCCATCCCTGTGAGGTTGCTGTTTGGGGGCTGGTATCACAGTTGAAGAGAATGAGGTTCAAGACCCCATCTATCCATGCTGCTGAAACAAAGTGCCCAGAGATAGGGATCTGTAAACATCAAAATGTCTCTCTCACAGTTCTGGAGAGCTGGGGGTCGAAAGTCAAGGTGCCAGCAGGTGGAGAGGGCTTGTCCCTCTAGAGAGAGCCTCCTCTGTGTCCTCCCTCATGTGACGGGAGGAAGAGACACAGAAAAGACTGACTAGTATCCTGTCTCTTTTCTAAGGCTGCCACCCTCCAGACAACCCCTTCCTGAAGGCTCTGCTTCTTACTGCCACTACACAGAGATTAAATTCCAACAGGAGGGGCTCATGTAGCCTAGGCTTGGCCTCAAACTCCCATGTAGCTGAAGGTGACCTTGAACTCCTGATCCTCCTGCCTGCATCTCCAAGTGTCAGCATTATAGCTGTGCATCACTGTGCCCAGTTTATGCTGCACTGGGGATAGAACCTATGGTCTCACGCATGCTAGGTAAACACTCTACCAACTGAGCTAGCCTATAAGTAGCTATTTTTTATTTAAAAATTTTAATTACAGTTATTAATGTGTTAATTTGTGTTTGTGTATGTCTGTGTATGCATGTGTACACTAATGTTTGCTCTGGCTGGGCATGGTATCACACACCTGTGACTCCAGCATTCAAGAGGCTGAGGCAGGAGGATCACAAACTTGAAGCTAGACTGGGCTACATAGTAAGACTTTCTCTCCAAAGTACATGTAATTTGCTCTGATTTGCTTTTAAACCTAGAAGAATATGTTAATGAATAGTATATATATATATATATATATATATATATATATATATATATATATATGAGCATAGGCTTTAAAATAAAGGAAATGTGGATTCTAGCTTCAAGTTCCATAATTTAGTAACAGATTAAAGAATCTAATTCTTTGGGCCTAGATTTTCTTTGTCTGTAAAATGGGTACAAGATCTTCCTTGAGGGACTGGAGAGATGGCTAAATGGTTAAGAGTGAATACGGCTCTTGCAGTTCCCAGCACCCATATCAAGTGGCCCACAACCATGTGTAACACCAGCTCAGGAGACCCCACACCCTCTTCTGACTTCTGTGGGTACACACGCACATGCTCACATATCTACACACACATACACACAACACACAGTAAGAAAAATACTGCTTTTTAAAAAGAGATCTTCCTTGCAAATTACATAAATATAACAAAAGTAATACATGCATTGACTTGTTGTCCAACACGGTCAACACACAGTAGCATTTAAGAAAAAAAAAATCCAGGGTCTCCCCTATTCTAGCCAAGTGCTCTACCACTGACTTGTACTCCAGGCTGTCCACATAGTTTGGGGGGATTTTTTTTTGTTTGTTTTTTGTTTTTTGAGACAGGGTTTCACTGTGTATCCCTGTCTGGTCTGGGACTTGCGATGTAGGCCTATCTGGCCTTGAATTCACGGAGTTCACTTGCCTCCACATATTTTAAGTCCTAATTGCTGTAGTTCATTTCTTCCTCTCTTGGTATCTTGTTTTCCCAAAGGATAGGGTTTAGTCTGGGGTTTTGACCAGAGATTCTCTCCTCGCCCCATCTCTCACCTTGTCTCCTGGCTTACCCATAATCCAACAGCCAGGACAAAGAGGAAGTACAGAACCAAGACAGCAATGTCCCAGGGCTCCAGGCTCTTCTGGGAGAAAGCCTCCGGGGCATCAGACTGTGGAGGTTGAGGGCTGAGGGTGCCGCTCTCCATGGTGCTGAATGAACTTCCCAGTCCTGGGGAGAGCAGAGCAATGTTAGAGTCCAGATCCCAGAACCTCTTTCCTCACTCCATCTAGGCTTCCCCCCATGGAGCAGCAGCAGCAACAACAAAGACCTACCTGGATGAAGGTGTGGTGGAGACAGCTTCAGGAAGTCAAGTCCAGCCCTCTGACCATGACCCTCTTACCACCCTTCCATTCGCTCGTTCGCCCACCCAGAAAATACATAGAAGGCGCTCAGACTCTGTAATTGACTTGTTGGCTTCCATTTTAACAATTCAACTACTTGTTCATCAAAATATAAAGAACAAACAGTTGGAGTTGTATAGACAACCCAGGGCATGTTAGTGATCCCAGCACCCTGGAGGCTGAGTTGGATCACTGAGTGTGAGGCTAACCTGGGCTACATAGCAAGATGCCGTCAAAAAGAGAATAGGGTGCATCAAGTTCCAGCACACTTTCTGTCCTAGTCTGATTTTGTTGCTATGGCAAACACCATAACCAAGGGCAACTTGGAAAAGAGTTTATTTCGTCTTACATGCCGAGGAAAGAAAAGTCAGGAGCTCAACGCAGGAACTGAAGTAGAGACCAGGAGGAACACTGCTTACTGGCTTGCTTCCTCCCAGGCTCATGTTGAGATGCCTTTCTTATATGCCCAGGCCTACCTCCCAGGGGACTGCCCACAGTAGACAGGGTCTTCCCACAGCAATCAGCAATTAAGAAAATGTCTTGCAGACATGACCACAGGCTAATCCAATGGAGGTAATTCCTCCACTGAAAGTCCAACTTTCTAGGTATCTTAGTTTGCTTTCTGTAGCTGTAATAAACACCATGACCAAATGCGGCTTGGTAAGGAAAGGGTTTATTTGGCTTGCACGTCCATGTCACAGCCTATCACTGAGGGAAGTCAGGACAGGAGCTCATGCAAGAACCTGGAGGCAGGAGCTGTCACAGAGGCCATAGAGTGGTGCTGCTTACTGGCTTGCTCAGCCTGCTTTCTTGTACCACCCAGGACCGCTTACCTAGGGGTGGCACTGCCCACAGTGATACCCTTCCACATCAATCAGGAAAATATCCCACAGACTTGCCTCAGGTCAATCTAATGAAGGCAATTCCTCAACTGAAAGTCTCTCTTCCTAGATGTGTCTGTGTGTTAAATTGACAAAAGAAGAAGAAAAGGAGGAGGAGGAAGAGGAAGAGGAAAAAGAAGAAGAAGGAGAAGAAGAAGAAGAAGAAGAAGAAGAAGAAGAAGAAGAAGAAGAAGAAGAAGAAGAAGAAGAAGAAGAAGAAGGCTATAGAGATGGCTTATAGGTTAAAAGCACTGGTTCTTCTTCCAGCAGTCCTGAGTTCAATTCCCAGCAACCACATGATGACTCACAACCATCTATAATTCGATCTGGTGCCCTCTTCCGGCCTGCAGGCATGCACGTAGGCAGAACACTGTATACATAATAAATAAATCTTTTTTTTTAAAGATTTATTAAGAAGAAGAAGAAGAAGAAGAAGAAGAAGAAGAAGAAGAAGAAGAAGAAGAAGAAGAAGAAGAAGGAGAAGAAGAAGAAAACACTAGTTGGCACATCCTTCTACTTAGTAAGCACATGGCCCAGAGAAAGAGTAAAGTGGGAGGAGTCTCACTCTAACACTGCATCCGCCCATTAATTACATATAGTTAATATACACCCATACAGCACCTGCTGCCTGCTTGGACTCCCTCTAAGTGTTTTCTACCCTTCAAAGTGGACACTTTCATTATCATCCTTATTTTTGTAGAAGGAGTTAGAAATGTTAAGTAGCTTGTCCAGGTAACTCAGCTCAAGTTGAAGGGTTGGGATTTGAACCTGAATAACCTTGCTCCAGAATCCATGCTTTGAACTACTACTAGAAACCATTTATCACTGGCAATTGGTGGAGCATGCCTTTAATCCCAGTACTTGGTAGGCAGAGGCAGGTGGATCTCTATGAGTTCGAGGCCAGCCTGGTCTACGGAGAGAGTGCTAGGACAGATACCAAAACTACACAGAGAAACCCTGTCTCGAAAAACCAAAAAAAGAAAGAAAAGAAAAGTAAAAAGAAAGAAAGAAAAAAAGAAACCATTTCTCTGGAGATTACACTTGGACCATGGACATTTTAAGAGAGTCCTGTGACAGGCAGAATAAATGGCCCCAAAGGTATGTATATCTAATCTCCAAAACCCGTGATCATGTGGTGTTCACAGAAAGAAATAAGATGGCTAGCCAGCTGACCTTAAAATAGGCTAGTGCGTGGCTCAGCCGGGAGCATCTATTGCAATCACAAATGACACCGGATCAGAAGGGCCAGAGAGGTGACAGCGTTAGAAGGTCCAGCTCAGCATTGCTGGCTTTGAACAGGGGACGGCGGTGTCCTGAACCAAGGAGTGCAAGTGGCTTCTAGAAGCCACTAAAACAAATGAACAGACTGGTCCAGGACCTCCAGGAAGAATTCAGCTCCGCTGAGGCCTGTGCGTGTGGTAGAGGATAGGCAAGCTGTGCTGTGTGTGCCTGTGCGTGTGGTAGAAGGTGTGCAAGCTGTGGGTGTGCCTGGATGTGTGCCGCTGCACAGGTCTGCAGGAGTATGCAGAGGTCAACATCGGGTGTCTTCATTTTCAGGCTCTCCACTTTATTTTTTGAGATAAGGTCTCTCATTGAACCTGGAGCTCACCCAGTGCCTAGACTGGCTGCCCAGAGAGCCCCAGAGATATGTCCATCTGTCTCTGTCCTTCTCAGAGCTGGGGTTAGAGGCATGCACACCCAGATCCACAGGGGTGCTGGGGATCCGAACTCAGGTCCTCAAGCTTGCACAGCAAGTCCTTTACCCACTGAACTATCGCCCCAGCCATTTGCTGACACCTAGATTTGAGCATCGAGCGCTTTAAACTCCAGGTAAGAATGTGTTGTTTTAGCCACCTAGTGTGGGATAATTGGCTGCAGCAGTGATGAGAAACTAGCAAAATCCCTTAGGTGGTTCTGACTGGGGCATGGGCATGGTTATGCTATTCCCTGTCAGCCGTGGGGTCAGGAAAGGTCAGCCCCCACCATCAATAGTGTGCAGCCCAAGGCTGGGACAAATCTGCCAGAGACAGCAACACTCTGTGATGGTCTGTGTGGTACAAATGCAGAGACTCAGACAAACCAGATCTTTAAAGAACTCAAGCTCTTGAGGGGCAGTGTTAGTCCATCCCTTTAATTCCAGCACTGAGGCCAACCTGGTCTACAGAGTGAGTTCCAGGACAGCCAGGGCTACACAGAGAAATCCTATCTCAAAAAGAAAAAAAAAGAATCCAAGTTCTCGGGCTGGGAGTGGTCAGTCAATAAAGTGCTTTACGCATAAACATGAGGACCTGGGTTTGAAATTGGGCATAGTGATACAATCTTGTCATCTCGGCTCGTGGGAGGCAGAGACAGGAGTCTCTCCATGGCTCACTTGCCAGTCAGGCTAGCCTAATTGGTGAGCCATGGGTCCCAGTGAGACACCATCTCAAAAAAGCAAGGTGGACGGTTCTTGAGGGTAAGACTTCTAAAGTTGATCCAAATTGACTTGCAGCATCCACTTACATATACACACACATGCACACATACTCACACACATGAACTTATATGTGCACCAAGGGGGGAGGGAGGGAGGGAGGGAAGGAGGGAGGGGGACAGAAAGAAAGAAAGAAAGAAAGAAAGAAAGAAAGAAAGAAAGAAAGAAAGAAAGAAAGAAAGAAAGAAAGAAAGAAAGAAAGAAAGAAAGAAAGAGAGAGAAAGAGAGAGAGAAAGAAAGAAAGAAAGAGAGAAAGAGAAAGAAAGAAAGGAAGGAAGAAAGCAAATGATTAAACTTACAACTAAAGTATCTCTATGTTATACCATGCTTCTAATTTAAGAGTCTTAGGAAAATTATTTTAGACAATACTGTGAATATTAAAAAAACAACAAGTACACAGTAGTGGCTCACGCCTTTAATTCTAGCAGTTGGGAGGCAGAAGGATCTCTCAGAGTTCGAGGCTAGCCTGGTCTATGTAATGAGTTCCAGGACAGCCAGGACTATGTAGAGAGATGCTGTCTCAGAAAAAAATTAACAACAAAACAAGTAAACAAGTAAACAAGTGTCTTCCATAAACTGGAGAAGGTTCCAGATAGTGCAAGCATGTCTTTTGCCCCCATGACTGTCTGGGATGTCTGGAAACCTTAGCTATGAAGTAGTTCTGCACATGACAACCTGTGTTGCATCTGGTCCCTACATACTAGGTGTTAGGATTCTGCCACTCCTCCAGCTGTAGGACCGCACATGCACAGTTCAGTAGCTAAGCAAGGGGTCTTAGGTCATCCGTGCACTGCATGATTATGCAATCTGCACATGCATGGCTGGCATAGCTCCATAAGCCCACATGCGCATGTGCTGGGAAGTTCTTAAAAAGCTGGTCACAGACTCCACCCTTCTCTTTTGCTTTCTCCTCCTCCCCCCATCTCTCCCTGCTCCTCACATGTCTTTCATAGGCCTGGTCACTCTCTTCTGTTCCCCCACCCACCCCCAATAAAGTTCTGATACTGGGTTTTGTTGTGCGTGCCTTGTGACCTTTCTCTCATGGTAACAAGCGCCACATTTAAAACCAACACCAGGTGTCCAGTGGTATAAACGGTCACAATCAAAATGCTCTCTCACATCCTGAAAGACCGGTATCTCTAGTGCACACCTTTGCTCCAGGCTAAAGAAGGTCAAAGAATTTCTAATAGAAAAGTGGAGGGCCTGGGGATGTGGCCTGGGGTGGAGCACTTGCCTAGTGTGCCCGAGACCCTGGGTTCCATTCCCAGCACTGCAGTATAACGCTGATGGTGATAATAAGAAAATGATGTGAGCAGTCAAGAGCAGCTCAAGTAGCTGCCCGAGGTGGGCAGGAAGGTGAGTGTGAAGGTCATGACTCTGCCTGGGCAATGTACAGAGGGGGTTAGAAGGCTGGTTGGTCTGTTATTGTATGTAGCCATAACAAAACACCTTAGCCTGAGTACATTTTTTTTT